TTAAGTATTTGCCAATTACCCGTTAAACAGAACATCGATAAAATTGCAAGGGCCCCAGGCCTGCTCTGCGCCAGGGAGACAGGACTCGCTGCTGCCAGAATTCTAGCTGCTCTCAAAGGCTGGTCTGTAGTTCGGACTTTACTGGTGGTTTTCAACCCTGTCACACGTTAGAATCTCCTAGGGAACTCTTAAAAAAATACTTCTCAGAGACCGTCTGATGAAATGGATCTGAAGTGGGGCCCAGGACTCAGAGTTTCTGACGTTGCCAGGTAGAGAGACCCTCTGGGCCATAGTTAATACTTCAACTCAGAGAACAAAGTGAGTCTCTGAGAGAATTGGATTCAAAGAGGTTGATGATCAATGCCTTTAACAGCAAAGATGAGAATTAATCTGCCATGCAGCTATGACAGGAAAGGGTCTAAATATCATTTTGTTATTTTCTTATTCAAAGAGAAACTATTATGTTGATGAAAGTGTCATCAATGGGCAGAGGGCAAAGGATCCATTTTAAGACCAACATTTAGAAATGACAAGGGTACTGTTAAGCACCCAGCCCAATGACTGGTGAAACGGGTGCTCAATGTTAATAAAAAAAAATTTAGGGGCTGGCCCGGTGGCATAGTGGTTAAGTTCATATGCTCCACTTCAGCAGCCCGGGGTTCATGGGTTCAGATCCCAGGCGCAGACCTACACATTGCTCATCAAGCTGTGCTGTGGCAGCGTCCCACATACAAAATAGAGGAAGACTGGCAAGATGTTAGTTCAGCAACAATCTTCCTCAAGCAAAAAAAGGAAGATTGGCAACACATGTTAGCTCAGGGCCAAACTTCCTCACCAAAAAAAAAAAAAAAAAAAAAAAAAATTCAACAGTGTGTAATGCCTGTATATAGCTGCACTGTCCAGTATGGTAGCCACTAGCTATAGGTGGCTATTTAAATTTAAACTAATACAAATTAAAAATTCAGTTCCTCACTTGAGCTGGCCACATTTTAAGTGTTCAGGTGGCTGCTGGCAACCATATCAGACAGCACAGACAGAGAACATTCCCATCATCAGAGTTCTAGCAGTGAGCGGTGATCCACAGAAACCCGTCCCAGAGGCAAGCCCTCCTACGTGCGGCCTTATGAATTATTCATGTGATCAAAGAGTACATCTATGTGATATTAGGAAGTGAACATCTGCAAATATCAGCAGATAATCATTTGCAAGCATGCATTGTTAAGTCATTGGAAAGAATTTTGAAATGAAGGGCAAGGAAGTAAAAACATACACTAAAGCGCAATGCTCTGCAGCAGCTGCACGAAACCACAGACTCTTGAGTTGGAGGGTCTCTTTGTGAGTCTAAACCATACTTTATGGATTTCAAAACAGGGCAGGAGTGGCTGCTACAAGGATGTTATTCCCCAGTCATGAATGGTGTGTTAGCACAGTGGCTGACTTTTGATAAAATACAGACGGATAATTTTAAAATTCTAACTAAAGCCACTGTCACTTTCAAGAGTCACTGGTTTTGTGTTCTTGGCACAAAATGTATCACAACATGAAAGCAGTTGATCAGCAATTGCTTCCCATTTTAGGTTTTAAAGAGTGCCAGAAAACACCAGACCTGGAAAGAACCTTGGAACCATGCAGTCCAGCTCCGTAATCTAGAGACGACGAAACTAAGGCGCAGTGAACAGCTAGCTGGTAGCAGACCCAAGGCAAACGCGCTGACTTCCTGACATTAACACTCCTCAAGAATCATTCAAACCCATGTTTCTTGCCTCAACATTTCAAGTTTTGCTTTTTAGGGATAAATACACAAGACAGCAGTTATGTGGCTCTCAAATTAAAAAATGACACCCGTTCCCTATTGAATGTTTAGTAAAAGGAGGACACATTGGTAAATAACATGAAGGCTACACCTCCTAGTTATCCAGGAAGTACATAATTGCAGCCAAATGTCTTTGGAGGCCCTGGATTCTGGTGTCGGCCTGCTTCAGTTCCTCAGAAGAGACCATGGACCCAATAGCCCTTTCAATGAAAATGTCAACTTGTTTATCGTCTGCATATTCCAGATGGCAGCAGTTCACAACTTACACTTTTTAAAGAATTCCCCTGGGGTATTTGTTAAGATATAGATTCCTAGGCCTCCACCCCAGAGAATCTCAATCACCAGAACCGAAGCAGAGCCCAGGAATCTGCACTTAACCAGCATTTCAGGTAATTCCGGTGTAGGTGGTCCATGACCAGGCAAGCCCAATTCGCCCAGGACAGTCCTGGCTTACACATGTTCATATGGTTTACAGCATAATTATTAAGTTCTCTTTCTCACTGTCAAAAGTGTCCTGGCTTGGACAATATATGGTCCGCTTTCCGTGATTCATAGATTATATTTTGAAAAATACTGCTATAATAGTTTACTATTAAGCAGCTCCTTTATTTTGCCAATAGGACGCCCCCCCAAAAAGGTGAGCTCAATGTTTCCTGCTATAGAGAATCCAAATAACCTATTTTTCCTTCAACCGATGATAAGAATTTAAGTAAATATCGCGGTCCATTCTCAGCATCTTGCAAAGACGCTTGGTGCTGCTCACATATTGAATTTCAGAAACCAAGTGAGTAGAAGGCGAAGCTTACAGGTGGGAGGGCTGAGCCTACAGACCAGAGCTCAGGAAAAGACCACACTGACGCGCAGCGAAATCACCACGACCATTTTATTGTTCGATGATTGTGGTACAGAATTGTCTGCGTGACCCAGGGCTAGTTTGGCTATGACGAGCACAGATGGCTCCGCAACTTATGAGGAACATTATCTGAGCCACACACTTCTCTGGTCATGTTTTTCCAACAATCACAAGAACTACTTTTTCCCACAGAACATGGAGTGATAAATTACCTTAAACCAAAGTCATCCTTCATTCATGACAGCATGTACCAGCCAGGCCACAGAACACGCAGGGGCTGGCTTCATTCTATGAACCACAAGGCAGCTCGTGAACACTGAACACGTGTGTACATTTATCGCTGTAACTAAGCTGACAGATGCATAAAGTGAGGCAGGTAAGATTTGGACTTATAGGTACAAACACTGTAACGAACTTTTATTTCATATATAAGTCAATATTCTTCTCTTGTCAATTCGGCTACAGTTCCCAGTTTAGACACTGCTTTTATGAGTTAAGGAGTTATGATGAAAAATCAGCCAAGCAAGTCACTTTACATTTAAACACAGTATTAGATCTGTTCACAATGGTCTATTTCACTCTGCATTGACTTTTCTCATTTGGTTCAAGCATTTCTTCAGTATCCACAACTTGTCTTCTAAAACTGGGGAGTATTTAAGTTGCAAGCACTTGTGTACTTTTGTGAGGATGAGAACTTAAAGCAACAGATGGTGTGACGTGTACATACACCTGAAGCAGCAATTACAACCCCAAATGACTTGAACACCAGGGACCGCTGCCGAGATTAGGTTAGCCAGAACGCTAAACGGTATGTTCCAGTCCTTGAAAGCGCGCGTCATGGCGTCCAGGACAGACTCAAGCACAAACCAGGTTTTTAATCCGAGTGTGGCATTCAGTTCTAGTGCAGTGTAGCATAAGAAGAGAGAAGAATTGTAATGATGAATGTAACAGAAACAAAAGAGGCAATATAACTCCATTCCTCCAACATTGAATAAAGTCAACTTAAATTTTTTAAATACTCAATAATTTCTATTTTCTGGGTAACCTTGCCTTGGCCGTCCACTCAGAGTCAAGATACATTTAGTTTGGTCTAGTGTAAAAGAGAACTTTAAGTATATGAGCAATTTATTGGTCAAATTCACAAGCTGGCTCTAACAGGAATTTTTTAAGTGAAAAGCAAGATACCAAAGGACTTGATGTGATGCTTTCCCGGGAAGAGTTACACAGGCAGCTAGAGAACAAGGGAGCAGCTACGGGACCTCGGCCATCCCCTGCTGGTTTACGCTTTATGCTGGTTCTGCCAGCAGGTGAGCACTGCCGCCTGACAGCGCTCGGCAAGCGAGGCTGCGAAGCCTGGGAATCAGCCCGGCCCCTCTCCACCGGCAGGTGGTCTCCAGCGCTCTGATCCCCGCAGTCACAGGGTGAGCTGTAATGATTCTCAAACGTTTGTTCAAATTAAGCATGTGGGACAGAACCTCAGCAGTCTCTTAGATAAGGCACAAGCCAGCTCTTAATGTAAATACAGTGCCTTTTAAAATACTGACCGAGGTTTCCCGTGGTTATAAAGGAATGCAATTTATAAGAAAGGGGTGCCATATTATAAACAACATGACATTTTATACTCATCCTGTTTTCGCAAACTCCTCTTGCCACACTACATTTCGCATGGCTAAATGGCGAATGCCTTTGACTTCCAATCAGATTTAACTTTTGTAAGTGCCTTTTTAATGCCTACTATCTATGAAGAGCCAAGACAGAGTTAGAACTGAGTGTGAAGATGTTTTATTTTCTCTCAAAAAGAATCTCAAGGTAAGAATATTTTAAAACATTAAGCAGTTCTGTTAGTAATATGCATTCCGTTCTAAGTTTGCCATTTTCAACCAATTTGGAAGGCAAAGATGAACTAAAGGGCCAGTCCTAAGTGCCAGAGTGAGGCATTACTTTTTTAAGATTGGCCCTGAGCTAACATCTGTTGCCAATCACTTTTTTCCTCCTCCTTCTTCTTTTCCCCAAAGCCTCCCAGTACATGGTTGTATACTCTAGTTGTGGGTCCTTCTGGTTGTGTTATGTGGGACACCGCCTCAGCATGGCCTGATGAGTGGTGCCAAACTGACGAAATCCTGGGTCACCAAAGCAGAGAGCTCGAACTTAACCACTCGGCGATGGGGTCAGCCCCATTTCTTTCCTTTCTAACTGTAGGACAAACATATTGCTTTGAGTACATAGGATGTTTGACGTTTGTGCTGTTTTGGCCCATGTGCAAAAGTTATGCACATAATTCAAATTAGCAGGCCACTTTGAGGTTGACAAAAGTAAGAAGTATTTACGAGAATGTTCTTTTAAGTGAAATTTTATTATCCCCAAAGGATTCAATTCCAATGAAAACAGAATCCTCACTGAAAAACCAAGAAGTAAAATTATCAAACAAAATCAAATTGCAGGGTTTTTCTATGAAAATCTCAGATCAGCGTGATAAAAAGATCTTTGTAGATCTACTGAAAAAAAAGGACATTTGAGTGTCATTTATCATGAAAAGGCCTAAAGCACATAGAATCTGAGTGGTGATAAGGCGAGGTTCAAGCTTCCTGGGTAATCTCGTGTTCCTGAGATGACAATACTTTTGAAACTGTAGCTCTAGGAATATAGACAAGAACTGCCAAATCTGAACACACCATGACACAGTTCCAGAGATTTCCATGGAGATTCTTATCAAAGGCTATTCCCTGAGACATGCAAGGGCAGTGAAATGGAATTCTCTGAGTACAAAAAAAAAAAATCACACATAAAATCAATTTGATCTCTTTACTTCTCCCTTTAAAGAAACTTCTAAACTAAAAAGATTTATCATTATAGTCTAAACTCTCATATTTTACCTTCCGAAAAAAATTTCGTTTATTGAGAGGCCAGGCACGGTGGGATGCTTTCACATACGGTCTCTCTCCCTCATGTACATTCTCTCTCCTAATACTTCTCTTAAAAAGATCACCTTTTTAAAGTTACAGAAACAAAAATATAGTTTTTATGCTTGAAACAAACTTAGTGGAATCCTAAAATAATTAGTCACACTTTAAAGAACGCACATGTAATTCTTTACTTTTTGAAACTACCACATGAAAAAGTTACGCAAACTTAATGGAATCCTAAAGTGATTAGAACTTTTAAAGAATACAATTGCAACTCAGTACTTCTGGAAAATATAATGTGAAAAGCAAATCCAAAATATCTATGTAAATTAAAGCTCAAGCCACGGTATTCAAAATTAAAATGATTTACACAATCCACTATACTTTGTGTTTTTTAGTAATTAACCTTCCTGAGGCTGATTTCGTTCTCCTTAGTGTTTGCTTAACTAAAGTGCTTAATAAAATTTCTACAGAATATATTACCCTCTCCATAGATGAGTATTATTTTGAACTACTATCTGACAAAAATCTAACTACACTTAATTATGCTTGATTAATCCAAATGTCACTGAGAGATTTATAGAACAGAGGAATATTTTTCAGGTTAAGTTCACACTCCTCACTGTAAGCTTCCTGGATCCGGTATTACCACAAATCTACTCCCCGGCTCTCCAACATTTAAAAAATCCCACAAAAAATAGTCCCGATAATCCAAACTGAACCATAGGACTCCAGACATCATCTCTGTTCCTTATCATTTTCAAGAGACATGCAGATTCCATCCAAGACTGAAGTCACCACTTCAAATTGGGAGGCGTGCTGCACTGCAGAGTCGACGACACAGGAGGGAGAAGGATGCAGGGACGGGAAGTCAAACGCTGGTACAGATTTATCAAACACCGCGAGGATATCCACATGAGATAAGGGGTGGGCTTGCTTGTCATGCAGGCCTGTAACTGAACCAGATGTTCGTTTGGAGACTTTCAGGAGTGAGGTCCTAAGGTGCGACCAGCCAAGTGGGTGTCAAGAACTGAAGTGTCCACTGTGGCTCCGCTGTCGAACGGGGCTGCTGCAGAGTCACCCGTGTTACAACACAAGTAGCAGCCCGGGTGCCAGGCGCACTGACCCTATCTCTGGGATTATGGGCAATTCATGTCCCTGTTTTAGAGACAGACAGCAAGGCAGAAACAGCTAACACCAACCCACAGACTTGAGAGGGGAGCCTTCTCAGGCAATCCTTTCCTCTAGTCCAAAACCAGTTTGGAAATGTTAAAGAGGGTGTCTCCTCCTGACAAGCAGCTATCTGACTCCAGCAGCATCATTCCAGATGCTCTAAGCAGGAAGCTTTTATTTAAATAATGATTTCTGAATCCTAAAAAGACCTATCTGGAACCTGCTGCAATTGCACTTTCGTTAGGAGGAAACAGCAGCTCACACCATCCAATGAAATGTGAGTGCAACAGCTGCGCCCTCCCACCTGACCATGGTCCCCTGTTGCTCAGCAAGGCGATGAAATACAACAGGTTCAGTCCACTCTGTCTACCCAAAGCCACAGGCTGAGGCCCTCGGCAGGGTCCCTGCAGAGCCACGCGCAGAGCCAGGCACGGAAGACGGACTCTCTAAATTCAGATGAGTAGATACAAAGGTGAAGAGAACTCAGGAATCACCCACCCTTCCTCATGTAAGGAACAGATCTGTCCACGATGAAAACCACATTTACAGGGTCTGGTGCCACCCATAAAGCACTCCCTGCATCCCCCTGCCTGGCTTTATTTTTCTCCATACAACTTACCTCCCAACTGTACTAGAAACTTTCCTTGTTCTGTGTCTCATCTATCTCCCCTTCTAGAACGTGAGCTTCGTGAGGCAGGGACTTCCACCTGCTTTGATCACGGCCACGTGCCCAGCACTTGGTCGAGTTTCTAGCACACCGTAGACACTAGCAGTTGCTTAAATGGAGGAATGAACATGACCTTCCTTCACATGACTCCTCTGTCTACCACTTTCACTTCATTCGTCCCTTACATGTGCGCACGTATTCAATTCTCCATTTCACACGAGGACAGAACCAGGTCAAAGACCGTTAGGGGAAGGCACTGCATGGGGGAGAGTTTGGTACATCACGCAAGGCTGTCCCTCATGCTCCTGATCATTCTGCTGGGCTCTGAGGGTGAGGAAAGCTTGCCTAGTGGAATCTGCTGGCCCCCGAGGAAAGGAGGCTTCAGTCTTACAAAGAGGCCAAATAAAGCCCACGACCCATGATCCACCTAGAAATGCACTTTCAAAACACTAACTCTTGTGCTTCTATACTAGGCACCAGACCTACAAACTATCTCAATGCAGGTTCATGCATAACAAGAGGAATCCTGATGAGGACCTAACTCCTTTCTATTGCTTAATGAACCAAAGTTTAAAATGGGTTGAATTGAAGAGACAGGTAAGAAAACCTGTGTCACAGTAAAGCTCTCCTGAGGGTCACCATCCTCAGTGGGGCAGCTCGACTAGCAACCTGTTAATAAAAAATAGTTTATACTTCACTTGATAACTGATTATGCTAGTTTGAAATATTCTATCATATTTAATTAAGTAATAAGTAATTGTCAACGGCTGATAACTTCTTAAGTTCGTTAAAATATCATGCGTGCCCTATTTTCAAACCAGAAGGTACGGATGTCTCTAATCAATGGCGTAGGAACCTGAGTTAAAAGTTACCTTTCCACAAAGAACAATAAACAAGAATCCTGTATTGATTAAGTTATTAGTGGTTCTTTCCTGCTAGCGATATTGGTTCCTTCTGTTTACTAACATATAGATTATGATTATGAAGGACATTATCTTCAAAGTCAATGTTTAAGCATCTGGACCACTGAGAAAGATGGCAGAATAAATGCATGTTTAAATAAGTGCTCCTGCCCCTTCAGTACACACATCCCCAAAACTGAACAGTAGCTGTCATAATGACTAATAAAAGCCACCACCCATACCAAGGACTCCAGGGAAGGTGTCTGACAGATACGACAAAGCTGAGGACTAATCAACAGAGGATTCTCGCATTTGCCAAGAAGGCCACAGTTGCTAGGCAGTTCACAAGAAGGTTCCAAAGGACTCTAGCAATCATTTCTTAACTTGGAGAAACAAGGACTGGCGGCAGTCAGGAGAAGCTGAGGGCACAGTGCGTGCGCACGTTTCCAGAAACAAACCCAGGAGGGGAGGTTGAGATCTCAGGTGCACCATTTGTGTGCAGAGGAGAAAAAGAGTAACTTAGGAACCAATCACACAGACGCTGATGACATATAACCCAGCACAGCGGAAGTAGGAACCCACCACACTCCTGCTAGGGCGCTGCCTTGTAGAAATGGGGAAACTCAAGGGGAATCCCTCCCCCTCAGTGGGACCCAGCCACCCCAGGGCAGAGGATTCAATAGTGTCCATGGAAGACGCTCAGAGACAACATGTCCCAAGGAGGCTTTGCTTCACTCCTTATTCCCCCGTCTCCAGATAGCAGAATGGAAAACAAAAACAGCCTCCACCTTTACAACCCATCCATGTCTAGCCTTACAGTTCAAGTACTAAGGTCATCAATCAAATGCTTCTCATTTGAAAAAGGAGTCGTCAAGGGGGATTTATCCACACTCTTCTTGGGCAGAGAGAACGGGTCCCATGCAAAGGCAAATAAGAAGCAGAAACAGCCATCACGGTACTTGTGCAATAAAAAAGCAAAATGACGTAGAAGAAAAAGAATGGAAGAAACAAAAGACAGATAAATACACTCTGGAAACAGAACAATTTCAGGAACCAGGAAAATCATAGACAACACAGTTCAGCCTTCCAAGAAACAAAATAAGGAACCAAAGAGGACAACACGACGAGAGAAAAAGCTGGCAGAGCTGAGGAAAGAAAGAGATAGAAAAGAAACTATAACATAAGTGAAAGCCACATTGCCAGCATCCAGGCCTAAAATCAACACGACAGAACACCAAGTCAGTGAAATGGGAGGATAAGCCCTGAGAGAGAAATCACACAGCAGGAAGACAGACAAGGAGACCACAGTGATCGAAGGAAAGATAAATGTGAAGGACAGATTAGAGAGAGCTGTACAGGGACAAACTGTCGAAGAAGAGAACAAATAAAGCAATAAGAAATGCAGCAAGGTCCGAATGTCAACACCTAATGTCACTGTATACCAGAAAAAGCCAACAGACAACTGTCAACTCAGATATACTCGAATGAAGCTCTTTATCAAGGATCAGCAGGAAATCACAAGTACCCAGGGCAAACAAGCAGGTCATCTACAAGAGGGGAAGAAAAATCTGTCTGGACGCAGCCCTCAGCTTCACCAGACACTAGAAAACAATGAAGTGATGTCTCCAAAGAATCAAGGGAAAAAGGATGTGATCCAAGAATCTGATAGCCAGCCAAGTTACCGTTTATAAGGAATGGCAATAGAAATACATCTGTAAATATGCATGAAAATCCAACTGAAGCTGTAATCCAGTCCACCAAAAGATAAAAGCATCAACTCTCACAAGTGGAGTCTTTGTATGAAAGGGCTGGCAGTGAGCGCCGAGTTCATTCAAACACAGAATTAAGTCTAAATAACTCTAGTAATTATCCCAGCTTTACACTTTAAGTTGCCTGTCTTTCTAGGTAAAAGCTGCCAAATCCATTCGATTGTCTCCTCTAACTATGCCAAAATGAAAACACACAAAAGAAAACCTCTCCTGAATGGAATTCTCCTGCAGTGTAGAAAAATTTTGGTTTACCCTTGAGGGTTAATATACCCAAGAAATTCCTCAAAAGAGATAATGCTAATTACCTGGCGCATCGTTGAGAGCACAGGCCTAGAAACAAAAACTACTCACTTTGGTTCTTCCATTCACTTACCATGCCACCTTGGCAAACCACTCAACTGCTTTGGAACTCATATGAAAACCCAAGATAATGCGTGCATGGTCCACCTCATGACACTGTAAGGATCGAATGGGATGCTGTATGTGAAAGTTCTCTGGAATCTATAAGCAAGGCTGTAAAACCATGTCACTTGATTGGATGGAAAGAACCCACTATGTGAAGGAGCCAAAATCAGATATTCGGAGACAAAGAAAGGATCAGACGGCTCCTGTGGATCCATCTCTACTTCCTTCCTTTCATTTCTCTACATTTTAAAGTCATCTCTTAGCCCTATAAAAAGGAAATTCAGTACTTCAACAGCTCCTGACCTGAATTATTTTTAATTTGGAAAGCAAGAAAGTTTAAGCACTTAGAAAGATTTTGCCCACCACCCAAGGTAAATGTCTGTCAATTTCCATTCATTGATTCAACTAGTATGTATTACATATTAGTTGTATTCACCTACTATGTGCCAAGCACTATTTCAAATAGTAGATACTGTTCCCAAATACTTGAAATCAAGTAAATGAGAGAGAAAGAGAGGAATTGGGTGAACTAAACGGATTTAGCTGAAAAAGGGCCAGTGTCTATTTATATTACAACTTATATGTAGAAATTTGACCATTTGCTTAGAGAGAAAACCCAGCAAACAGCCAGAGGGATATACCTAAGTTCAGAGAATCATGGAGAGGTGACAAAAAGGATAAATGAATCCCTGGGGCCACTAAACTACGAGAATGCAAGATGTTCCTGAAACTCTTCTGATGGCTGCTTTGGGAGCAAAGTTAAATTCTTAATGTAGAAAACAAACACAGGAGAGATGAGACTGTACTGGAGTCAGGTGGATATGAGTAAGCCAGAAAGCATATTAGTAGAGGACTACCAATTAAGTCATTGAAACACTGAAAGAAATCTTTACTTTTGAAAAAGACCTGTAAAGGAAGGAATACGATAGATTTTTCCAAGCCATCTTTTCCATCTTTAATCTTTATATGGAGCTTATTGTGAAGGCATAACCATCAATGGGCGTTGCTCAACCACACAGTAAAACAATGCCAGAACAAGGCAGGAGAGAACACTCCTGAATCTGTTGCCTCCTTCCCCCTACAGTGTATCACCTTGGAAAGTGTAAAGGGCTGTGGTTGGAAATGGAGGCCTAGTAAGATACCAAGGTACTATCTAACGTTTATAAGGAAGCTGGGGTCTTTAAATGTAAAGGGCTGTTATTTTTACATCTTTCACACCACAAGGAAATAACCATATGGAATAGCCCCATCCCCAAGACACAGACTCAGTCCTCAAAAACCAGGCCTCCAAATGGACCATCTTGTCACCCGTATCTTGGAAGTACATCGGTCTTTCTTTCACCTGACTGATTATATGAGTTCCCTGATGAGATCCTTCTAAGGGTGGAAGAGATGAGATCTTCCTAAAGATGAAGGGAACGACCATGAGCTGGTTACGTAATAAAATGAAAGAATGAGATTGAGTGGAACTAAGAAAACAAAGCTGCCATCAACTCACGTGTAGCTGGTCAGAGCACCACTCCTCCCAGGGAAAAATCCCCACTGTGACAGCAGTGGGGACAACTTCATTAATACTGTTGTATGACTAATGGAGGACTACTTTACAAGTCTCAAGTCACAACTTTTAAATCAGCGGACTCTATACTTGAAAATTGGATGGAAACATTTATACAGACGTTGAAAGGGGCTGAAGTCAAAGTATATATGAAAAATTATAGTGAAGAGAAACACACCCTGTAGAGCTGTAAAAATGCGGGTTTTAATCTGGACTCTCAGATAGCTTCCATTTCTAAGGGTAAATATAACACGGTTCCTCTTTCCTCACCCCAAGTCCTCTGCCAATTCCAACTTTGAGCAAAAAAGAAAAGGACTGTGAAAATCAGATCAACAATTCCAAAACTGGCTAAAATTCATGAAAATGAAAATTATGAAGACCTAGGCATTTATCAAAATAAACTAGAAAGAATTTTTCCCTTTAATATTCTATTTTACAACTAGTAAAGTGCATCACACAGGGATTTCCAATTCTTTAGAAAACTACAAAGAAACATAACAACAAAGGTACAGTAACATTTTTACATAAGCATAAAAACTCCATTTCCCACTCTTTACAAACCTGATAATGACCAGAAGGTAGTTTTTCACTTAAGATCTTTGAAACCAAGCAGTTAAGTGAAAAATTCCAAGACAACTTTTGGAACGCTTTAATCGGCAGAATGAAAGTGTACAAACTAATTTTAAAATAAAATCAATGCATCAAAGAGTAAGATCTAACGCGAAAGCACCCACACCTCACAATGAGAGTACGATCGGATGGAAGAAGGCAAAAGTCTAAATCAGAGAGTAAAGAGGGATGCATATGGGACAGGAAGGGCCCTGGGACTGAATTATCAACATACGCTGAGCTGATGTCTTCAACTTCCCGATTCCCCAGGCCTTAGTCGGTGGTTTAGGACAAACATGGTATTTGGTCACAAAGAGCAACAGTAGAGATCTGCTGTGTCTGGAATGAGGAGGGAGCTTAGAATCCTGGGGAGGTTGTAGACACTCGATTCTATGATGATGAGGAGAGAGGTATGAGTACACGAGAGCGCTAACGAGGCTCTGTGCTCTCTCACAACAGGCGCCAACCAAATCACAGCAACATACTATGAAAAATGACTCAAGTTACTACTTTAGTGGAAGATCTGGAGTAGCTACAGGAAGGTTTCTGTGGAAGAGGTCCAGTTTGTGTGGAGAAAATGCACTTTCAAGCACTGGAATGACTATGGTGCCACGCTCAGAGTTGGTGGAGGAAAGGAGTTCTCTTTTGTTGACTTGTGGAAGACAATCTTTCTTCAGAGAGAGGATTGAAGCATTCAGTTCTCTAGAAAGTTCTATTAGTCTTGATCTTGTCCCTACAAAGAAAATAACGGGAATATCCAGAATGAGTTTATGAGTACAACCTTCTCTATTTTAACCAAGACTAACTCAGAGCATTTAGTTATAGTGATAATTCAAAAACTCTTGCTTTATTTCTCAATTATTTTCTATGGTTACCTCAGAAAAAGACTTACCATTTAATTACTTATATCTACTTTAAAATAGTTCTTTACTCTCAGTTAAAAATCTGATTAGAAATGAGGAATGACTGCTAATGGGCGCGAGGTTTCTTTTTGGGGTGGTGAAAATGTTCTAAAATTAAATAGTAGTGAGGGTCACACAACTCTGTGAATATTATAAAAACCACTGAATTGTATACTTTCAAAGGGTGAATTTTATGGTATGTGAATTATCTCTCAATAAAGCTTATTAAAAACCTGATGCGAGAATAAATTTTCTTAGAATTTCTCATTCACCTAATGAATTTGCCATACCTACTAAATACTTCCCCAAGATCACCACCAATTAGTCTATTTGTATAATTTAACAATTTCAATCATCAGGCTAACCACTTTAGGATTTTAAAGAGTGCTTTCAGCTAAAATGTGTTTGTCTAATAATAATATTACAAATTAAGACATACTTTAATTAGTATACAACCTGCTAAACTATTTGGAGTTTTAAAATTGCCTTTAAAATAATATTCAATTAAAGCCATCTTTTTATAATCTGAATGGACTTTATTATTTACAAAGACCGCTTCTGTACTACCTAAATAATTCCTCCTGTCAAAGCAACAGTTTGAATTAATTGGTCACATTGATGCCCAACATGCTACTTACATACAGGCTGAAAATGCAATCAAGGGAAATTGATCCAGGTGTTTCAAGCTGATTCAGCTTAATCTTGGCTAAGGATGGCTGTGTGCGAGTGCACGTGTGCACACATGCATGCACGCACACCCATGTATACATTTGCACTCACATGCACACACCAAACTCCTGTAAATTTCATTGTTTGAGATGACTGACCAGTCCAGCAATATTGCACAGAGGTCCATCACAACATTTCCATAGAAAAAAATAAACATCAGTATAGCTACCCTTTATACCATTCATCAGAAAAGAACAATGCCCCTATAATGGTACCAAGTTTCAAAGCTATATAAACTATATTGCATAGCAATAGCTTTCTGTTATATTATGTTAAGAATCAAGGTTTTCAGGGTAAGGAGAAATACACACAATTAAAATATATTAGGGAGAAACATTGCAATGTTAAAATTGAATAAAAAATATCAATATGAACTTACGATTTAAAGAAAAAGATATATATATTTTATAGCTGTGTCCAGAAAAGGGACCTAGAAAAAGTACGATGTGCACTCTCAACTCCTAGATTAGGGTCTCTAATACCCATTAAAAGTAGACAGGACTCCTTGAGGAAAATGGCTGATTCTAGGATGGAGGCAGGGAAGTTATAAGATGAACCTAGGACATCATCTTGGGCCAGAAAGCAAGGAAGCTTTCAAAGATTAATGGGATTTTATCAATGGAACACAGAGGATCCAGCCTGAAATAGCTCCCATTGGCCAAAGGCATGCCAATTTAAGCATCAAAAAGATGGCAGCTACATGCAGTAACATGGATGAACCTGACAGAAAGCCAGACACAAAAAGAGTACACACTATACATTCCTTTTAAGTTCAAGAAGTGATAGAGGGGCTGGCCCGGTGGCATAGTGGTCAAGTTCGCACGCTCCGCTTCAGCGGCTCAGGGTTTGCCAGTTCAGATCCTGGGCATGGACCTAGCACTGCTCATCAGGCCATGCTGTGGTGGTGTCCCACATAGAAGAACTAGAATGACCTACAACTAGGATATATAACTATGTACTGGGGCTTGGGGGAGAAAAAAAAAGGAGAGGAAGATTGGCAACAGATGTTAGCTCAGGGCCAATCTTAAAAAAAGAAAGATAGAGTCAGATATATTGATATATATTGATAGAGTCAGAATAATGGTTCCATGGTGGAAACTGGGAAGGGAGAAGAGTTTGACTGGAAAGAGGCCTTTTCGGGTACTAGAAGTATAGATATAAAAATTCCTCAAGCTATAAAACTTAAGATTTGTGTACTTTATATATACGCATACGCATATGTATATATGTGTGCGTGCATATATATAAGTACTGATCGAAACATATCAAAGCAATAAAAATCTATAATATCTATAATAATACTCAAAAAAGAGAAAGCCAGAAACTCAATTGTCATCATTTAAGGTGGCTTTTAACTCAACCTCTTAACTTGACAATTGGTAATTAAAGGGAAAGATTCAAACACTTATCCTGCCTAGCCAGGAGGAACTGTACTTCTAAAGGTACCTAAATGGCCTTAGTTGATGAGGAAGAACTTTATAGGAGAATGTCAGCTAACAATTGTCAAAGGAATGATATTTTTAAAAAAAACATCATTTTATAAACGTTAATGAAACTACTGATTCAGGCCAAAATTATCAATTGGCGTTAAAAACCATTAGGTGATGGTTGCATAGTGCCAAAATAACACCACAGAGAATACTTTCCAGCAGAGAAGGGGAAAATAACTGTATCATGGAGGAATCAGACAGCCATCATTGATTGAACTACGGTCAATCTTAACATCACTAACGGTGGGCCAACCAAATATTATGGGCCTCACAGTGCAATTCCGCAATAGCCCTTACGAAGTATTCTAGCGAAAGATGCTCCATTGAGCCTTTAGATGAACTTCCAGTTTACAGGAAACACAGGAAATGGGAGACAAGCTAAATGACATTTCAAAGAAAAAACCAAACAAATCAAGGTGGGACATTTTTGCAGGATAACTGGCATGGTCTCTCAATAACAAAAAACTGTTCTAGATGAAAAACAACTTGAGATCTACTCAGATGTGCTATGTGGTCCTAGCATCGATCCAGGTTTGGACAAATCAGGGGAATTTTCATGATGAAAACTTATTGACATGGAAAGGTGGAGATGGTTAAATGAAATAAAACAAGGTTGTAAAATAGTATGAATAGTACGATCTCATTCTGGGAAAAATACATATATATATATACAGATAGCAAAACAGCTGAAAGAACATACACAAAGCTCTAAGACTGATCAGCTCTGGGTTGTGGAAATACAGTGGTTTCTCTTTTCTTTTTTTGCTTATTTACATCTTTAAATTTTTTTACAATGTGCATATCCTCTTTTTCTATTAATAAAAAGTTACTTTAAATTAAACAAATAAATAGAACCCTTACTGTTGCTAGTAGAGTTGGAGCTTAAGGGTAGTCAGAAGAAAAAAAAAACTGTAAGCCAAAAATTGGATTATTGTTCTTATTACCATAAAAGAGTGAAACTCATTATTCCGTGGTTGATCATTTTTCTCTTTCATTTTTTTATTGTGGTAAACTACACATAAAATTTACCAGCTGGTTAAGATGATAAAAAACGGTTATTTTTAAGTGTACATTTCAGTGGCATTAAGTACATTCACAGTGTTTTGCAAACATCATCATCATCCATCTTCAGGACCTTTTCATCTTCCCCAACTGAAACTCTGTCCCCATAAACACTAACTCCCCATTGCCCCTACCCCCCAGCCTCCGGCAACCATCATTCTACTTTCTGTCTTTCCGAGTTTGACTTTTCTAGGTATCACATATAAGTGGAATCATGCAGTATTTGTCCTTTCGGCTCTGGTTTGTTTCACTCAGCACAATGATTTCAAGGTTCATCCATGTTGCAGCATGTGTCAAACTTTATTCCTTTTAAAGGCTGAATAATATTCTGTTGTATGGATAAACCATATTTTGTTTATCTTGATTGATAATTATAACTTTGTTATAACCCACCCACAGCCTTCCTCTAAATATTCTTCTGCCAATCTCTATGGATGATGACAAATTGCAAACTTAATTACCTTTTAAATAATATTCATGGCAGGATTAGCCTTGCTCACTGCTGTTAATACTCCGCAGGGCAAGGACTCCTAGAATATCAGGGCCTCTATTGGAATGGCGACTCTGGCTACCCAATTTTTGCTCTCCTTCCTGTCTGGGGTGAAAAAGCTGCGCCAACCTTTTTCTTTAGGGATCACTTCACTTTTCCAGTGAAAAACCCACAAAGAAGATTTGGCTGAAAGTACCAATCGTCTGGCTGGTACATTCTGGGGAAAAATCAGACACTTTATAATAGAAAGCAAAGTGGTAAATTACTGTTTCGCCTTATATTTTGAAGCATCTCTGGGTTCTCTGCTGGGATTGCTCCAATCGTCGGCTTCAGGTGTGGTCTTGTAATGGCGCCATGCGGACTTATTAAAAACCGGAAGTCTCTCAAATGATTCACTTGAAAGAGCCTAATGAAAAAACAAAAATATGCACCAAAGGTCCACAGTGTCATTTTTCTCACGTGAAATATGAACCCAAATATTACTATTTAAAATATTAGAAACTTTAATACATATTTTTGGAGTTATATTAAAATTACATTTTAGTAGTTTATTTAGACTGGCCAGGATGAAATTAAAGCTTCTTTAAAGGAATAAAAACATTCACTCATTCAAAACCAGTTGTGAAATACATATGACCAGAACGAAAAGCATTTTAATTCAGTTAATACTGCTCTGAGATACTTGATTATCTTGGCCAGATAGTCTTAGACCAAGCACCACTGTTCACCAGGCAATCGCTCTCCCAGAGGGCCCGGAAAGAAAGAAACTTTCATACATACTTGATTTATAAACATAAGCCCATAAAGTGATCTCAAACATCACACCATTAGATGCACTGGCATGTAAGATAAACACTCCAAATAACTGGTTAAATTATGGTATAACACATTACACGTATGTGTTATAACATGTAACACATTATGCAGCTATTAAAAAGAATGAGCCAGTTCTATATGATATGGAAATCATATTTTTCCTGATATGGAAAGGTCTCCAGGATATATTAGAAAGTAAAAAAAAAAAAAAGTAAAGTGCTGAAATAATTATTTGGGTGAAAAAAATTTAGATTTTTCCCCCCTCTATGTTTATTAACACAGAATCAACTCTAGGAGGATTCACAAAGAAGTGGTACCCATGGCTACCTCTGGGAAAGAGCACCAGGTGGCTCAGGGCCACTGGTGGGAGAGATTTAGTGTTCCCTTTTGCAGCTTTTAAATTTTATACTCTTGCCTATATTACCTATTCAAAATATACTCCAAATATTCTAGAGTTTAGAAACACATAAGTCTGACAACATCAATGAATGAGAAAACCTGTGTAACAGAGAATTTTGTTATTAGATCAGCCTCTTATATAACCATATGATGATTACTGAATTCTTATAACTTTGGGAAAGCCAGTAAGTTTTTAAAGAAAAAGACTAAAAGACTTCAGTTTATGAAAATCTGTCTCCTTTTAGACTAGTCCTTTCAATGGATATGCAATTTTTAAAAAATCACAATTTAGAATTATGGTTTTAAAATCAGTATTTTAATTTTTACATCTCCATGTTTCATATTTTGCTATATCTGAGCATAAAACCAAGAGTAGGACATAATTGGTTTTCATGTAAAATTGAAGTAAATCTGAGCTGAATATAAGAGATGATACAGTGCTCTTCTCCATTAGTTATTAGAACTTATAGCTTTAAAAAGTAAAGATGCCTTCATTTAATAGAAATAAAATGTAGTACCTTCAAATAAATAACAGCATCAGTACCCACTCCTTCCATGGAATAGAGTTTTAGATCTCCTTGAAAATATCTAGCATACAGACGAGAAATTGGCAAACCATAACCAAATCCAGCCTATTGAGAAAAGAAAATTAATACACTGAGACAGGCACAAACGCTAACATGATTGGTATGAGGACTATTCGGAAGATTAAAATAAATTCTTGGTTCAGATTTGAAGTAAATAAATTATCAATCCAACCTTTAAATGATGTATATGCTCATCTATGGCAAACAATCTATTTTAACCTTCAAAACCACTTTTCATATGTTTGGAAAATAACAGCAAAATTCCAATTTTTGACTAATGTTTTTTTAGTATTTTAAGCAAACTTTTAGCAGTTTTAAAGCAAATCCTAAATCAAGTGGAATTTGACCTGGTAACAAAATTAAACCACATCATTCCAAAGTTTCATTATCAGATTTCCTTGCTCTTTGAAGTGAAAATTGAATTGACAGGGCAGGAGTTCAAATCTACCAGGCCCATGGCTAACACACTGGAAAAAAAACTCCTGAAAGGCTACTCCCTACGATTCTGAGAATGCCACAGTATTTTGATACATGGTAGTCCACATATTTTAAGAGACAAGAAAACAATTCCAGTACCCTCCTGTATCTCTGTGTCATAGAACCCTGTCAGTAACAGTTTGTTGGGGAAAAAAAGACAGATATTGACAAGAACAGTAAGAACAATAGAGACTAATTTCAATAACTCTGGGGTGACAGGGAAGATGCTGGACTGCAAGCTTGGGCCTCTCTGATTAAATCCACTGACAAGGTTAACAAAGGTGGCAGTGGGGAAATGCTCTCACAGACTAGAGGCTGCACAGGCTTTAGGCTCAGATAGATGAGTTGAAATCCACATTTTGCACAACTCTGAGCAGTTTACTGAACCTCTCCGAGACTGTTTTCTCATCGGAAAATGTAATAAAAAGCTGACCTCAGAGCGGCTATAAAGATTAAACGACATAATAGTACATGTAAAGCCTTGGCACAGAGCCTAAAACACAGGAAAATGAAATAAATGGAAGCTGTAATTATGGCTACTACAGAGTAGCAATTTTACCAAGTTACATGGATTTCTACCATTGTCTAACACCTTTCCTAGAGTCCTTCCTCAGGGTAGGGCCTAACTCACAGGGCTGGGTGTGACAGAGCGCACTGTCATTTAAGTGCTTTATAATTGGCGGAATATGGCCGGTAGTGAAGACAAGATATCCACAACGGTGACTGAGGTCACCACAGCAAGGAAACCAGCATACTCCAGGAAGAGGCCCAGGGAATCTGCTTCCTACATTCCAGCAAGGCCCAGAGCCTGCCCTCAGGCACACCAGGAACAACCGAGAAGGCCTGAGCCCAATGTAGTCATGAGTGTGAGGAGACAGGGGAGCTGAGAGTCCTGCTGAACACAGAGGAGGGGCCTGTAACTCGGATGCGATGAGGTTCAGCAGTTTTCCCAGGGTGTCAAGGGATCAATAGGAGAACTGGAGAACACTTCCGGAGAAGAAATGCATGTGTCAGGCACGGAGCTGTAACGTAGTAAGTAAGGTGTTTGGTGAAGAAACTGTTTTCTAGGACAGTTTACTAACTGGGAGAGATGCTAGTGGAAGCATTTCTTCAAAAGGTGAGGCCACATGGTACACTGCAGGGAGTACAGACACAGCCAGTGCCAACTGCGTCATAATGAGGTCAGTGACCTTGGACAAGGTACTAACCTATTTTCTCATCTATAAAATGGGAGGTTGGACAATTTCTTAAGGTCTCTTACTCTAATTGATCAGTTTCATTAAAAAGAACTAAGACATAACAGCTACCCTCAAGATGCTATTTTGAGACCTGGAAGAGATGATTCGTGTTCCTTTTAAACAACTGAGGAAGGCTCTACATTTGCTTGGAGTGTTTTTTTTCCCTTCTGACATTTATTTAAGTAGATCTCACAGCCTGGTCAAGGCAATGCTTTTCAAAATTGATCTTTCACGAATTTTCTTCAATCCTATACAAATGACTTCCTCTCTGTTTTCAACATGCTGCGTTAACAAACTCTGTCTTGAATAAATGATGCAAAGGGATGAATTTTATTCATACAAATAAAATATAATCTTACATGCTTATCAGTCAGGTAGGACTTGAAAATGAAACTTAATTTATACCCTGAACCATTCTGCAGACTGATAGGTGTGTTGCTGTGTTTAATGACAAAGGGTTCGATTGTTGTTTGTCAATTAGAAACACTCAGCAGGGGAAGAAAGTGTGGCCCTCCCAGGATCTAAACGCTGCCATGGTAACCAGAGGCTTTTTCTCATTGCCTTAAAAGGGCTGAAGGTTATTTCCAGAGTGAGTCAGAAAGGACTCTGAAAATGCATGCGCCACCTATATGTTTCCTGCTTATGTTATTTAATATAAAATGTTTAATGTGTTCGTAATTTGACATTTTAATTATATAAACAACTTTGGCAGGGGAAGTTCAAAGGCCCTGGGGGATTCGGGCCTCTATGGTATGCAGCGCTGAAGAGCCCAGGACCACACTGCAGCTGTTCACGCTGCGCTGTTCCTGCGCGCATGCTCCAAGGGTAGGGCCAGGCAGTAAAGGGTGCTCTGGGAGCAGTCTAACCACAGGCAAATGCTGCTTCTCTGTATTTGGGAGTGAGGCACTCAGCTCTGAGTGTTCCTTGGACACAAATTAGAGAAGAAATCTAAGTCCAAAGGATTCACAAAGAAACTAGCAGCGGCATAAAACTCCCCCTCCTCCAAAGCACGCGGAAACGTTGGACTTCAAGGAGGCTGGTCAACAAGCCGGGGAGGCAGCCAGCTCTGTCGGAGGCCCTTCTCGGGTTAACAGTCTTTCCTTAAGCAGCAGGTTAAGATGCTTACCAAAGGGGCAGCTCTCGTAGGCTCCAGGCTAGGTCTAGGGGCAGTCGAATACATGTAGTTAAAAAGACGATCTATTTTTCGAAGTGGGACCCCACCACCTAAGTCACTTATCTGTAAGGTACAAATGTCAAAAAAAAAAAAAGAGAGAGAAAGAAGAAGTAGTCACTCTATCCTTATAAGAGGCAACAAGTTCCTTAAATAAAGTATACACCAGATTACAACATACAAGGGCTCTGAAGCCCCAATGAAACATGGTTCCCTGTGAACAGTGTACAACAGAGAAGGCAGGGAAGTGTGGTGGGACCCAACAGGCTTGGCTTTGCGATCCTGTTCGGCTCCCCGAAACACGGAGTTCTGATGAAGTATAATGAGGTAACTTCAGCCAAGGATCTGACGTAGTACTTACAAATAAGACACGCAATAAATGTCCCTTTTCTTCCCTTCCCTCTGATTCCTCAATGTCTAGATACTATTAAAGTAACTGATAATTAAAGGCTACATGCAAATAAAGCAGTTACCTTAATGGACAAGTCTTCTTTACCCAGAGTAACAAGGGTTTTAACGGACGGGTAGCCCTCTTTTCGATCTTCATATAGTTCGACTGTTGCTCTCATTGAATTCTGAAATAATCAGACGTTTTTTAGTATACTGCTGACTCAATTTAAAAAATTTAAAATTTCAAAAAAGAAATTAGCACAAGATTACTTATACACAACAATTCTCTTGTGGGGCAAAAATAATAGTTGCATTTATATGGCATGTTTTTTTCCTCTAAAGAACTTAGCTAAATGTGTGTTCAGATCAAGGCAAAATTTCCTGATGCTTTATTTTGCTTTTCACCTACTTTTAGTTCCATCTGCCATACTAAATGCTTTTTTTCCTTCTTGTTTTTGCTTTAGGGTATTTATTCAGCTCTTAACCAAGAGGAATGTTTTTCTCACGTGTAACACGGCCGCAGAGGCTCAGTGATGCACTTTCCATGCTACTTATCAGTCTGCATTTACAGAGCACCTTTCCTCTAAAGGAGGAAGAAAACCTGAGAGGATTCATGCTTCCCACAAAAATTAATCATGTGGCTGAAAAAAACAGTGAAGAAATGTCAGTTAAGAAGAAATTCTGCAACAGCCACAGCTGTGGAGGAGAAGGTTCGCAACTGAATGCCCATCTCAACCTCCAATGTTACAGCAGTAACGTTATAATTTTTGGAAACAAACCAGCATAACTGGTTTTTCTGGTGCTCAATTTCAGCTTTTAAACACTGGAAGAAAGGAAATTTTAGCTCGAGTGCCTTGTGCCTGTAACACTGTTACTGTGGCCATTAGCTATTGGTTAACAAAAGCAACAGCTCATGCTGTACAGTCTAAAGAGTCTTTTTTTTTGGTCCTTTTTGGGCCAGCTCTTCCCCCTGCCTCTGTCAGATCTTCTGGATTGACTGAAACATGTAAAAGGGTTACAGCGTCTCCCAGGACTGCAACAGCTACTCAAGCATCAACACGGTTAATGTTCAGAGGCACAAATAGGCACAAACACGCTTTTATTTTGATCCAGCTACCACTAATAAAGCCTCTGCCAGGTTGGGAAACTAAAAAGCATCTCTAATCTCATAACTGAAGAAAAAACAGTATGGATTTTACATCAAATCACTAAAGTACAATTAAGCTTCAAAATCAATATGTACTAATATTCACAAAAACTATCCTGTACACAGCAATTTTTCACCTCACAGTGTACAAATTATAAAACCCACAGGATATCAGAAATAGAATTTTAAAAATGGTTATGCAAAACCTTTTTCTTATGCTAATCTAATGAATCCATTATGCCCTGAATCACAGTAATTTAAAATGAAGACTCCTTTCCGTGTTTTTAAATTCCACTTACCTTGAACAACTCAAACAGCATGTGAAACAGATGGGAGGGCACATACACGACCTGGATAGGCTTGTCTGGAGCTTTGGCTGAAAACGGAGACAAAACCGTCAATGAATAAGGACCAAAACTAGGAAAAAGTCAAGAATGTTGTTTGTATCCTATTTTCCAAGTACATAAAAGAGAGTCTACAAAAGGTTAATTTAGGTTTCCACCTTTAAAGGCCAGGCTGAGCAAAAGCATAAGGTTTGAAGTCCAGCAAACTTGGGGTGAAATCTAGTTTCTTCACTTACCAGCTATGTGACCTTGGGCAAATTACTCAATTTCTTTGAAACTTAGTCGAGTTAAATCAGAGTATTACCACTTATGTCAGGATGTTCTGAGCATTACGTAAGGTCATCCAAATATCGCTCCATGTTTTTCAAACTGGGGGACACCCACCCCCGCCAGTGGTCAGCAGGGGGAATGTGAAGCCACAGAGGAAAAGGGCACATCTTTTTGGTGAATTTGACTAAACAGCAATGTTAAATTCTGTTAAATTTTGACTAACAAGGCATATTATAGAGAATAATAAGGGTCACAGAACTCTTTTCTACTAGCAGCTAGCAGACAACACCCCCTCAAGACCTACAGTCCTTTCTCCTGGCATTAGGGATGTTCTGAGGAAAATATAAGAAACACTGATTCCACGTCAGGCACTAAGAACAACAGAGTGGGCTATAGAGTAGATGCTGGAAAATTGAGTCCCTCCTCCTCCTCGTGACCCAAAATCACTTAAGAGACTGAAACTATATGAACATACTGAACTATGTGAACACAGACATACTCACTCATGTTCTAATTTCAACCTAACTACTTCTTCTAATCAAGCAAGTAATTCACAGTAATATAAAGGAGAGCGAACATTCGTTTGGTTCTCAGCAGTTTACAAAGAGCTTACACATACATTATCCAATGAAATCCTCACGACAATACTGTGTGGCTCATGGGATGGGAGGCATTATTGTGGGTGACGACACAGGCTTTGCAGAGGCTATGTGACTTGCCCACCAAAACAGAAGAGGCCTGAAAATGGAAGCCTGAACCCAGAGCTTTTGATTCGAAATCCCGAAGCCTTTGATGTTATTTTTAAAGTAGTATATACAAATGACTTAAAATTTTTTTCACAAAGAAGTAAAGGTTCCTCCACCCTCTCCTATCTCGCTCCCCAGTTGGTATGCAGAGGCAGCCACTCCTTAAATACTTCTGATTTAGTCTTTCGGTTGATAATATTTACGTTCTGTTCTGTAACCCTAATTAACTCTTCTGTGCTTCGCCTATCGGTTCTTCTTTAAAACACTGAAAATCGATAGTGTTGGTAACATCCTAACTTGGTAAATATTGATCATTGTGGAGCGGCCACAACAGTGTGCCAGGACAACGTTTCCTTCCCTATGAGTCCAAAGACACGATTCATGTGCCACTTGAAGGAAAATGTTCTCAGTCTTAAGGTAAAATGGATTCTCTTTATCCTTCTCCAATGGCTCAAAATCATGCTTCCCCTTTTAGGTCACCAGGTATGTGGACTGTATCTTTCTTATACAGTTTCATATACTTCCTGGAGCTTCTAACTACTCTTCCTCTTGGGTAATGGGACCAAAAACACATGCTTTCCTCACCACATCACTAAGATCTTCCAGTTTCTTATTCTGTTGCATGGTATCCATTCTATTCTTTAAGATTTTGTCAAATTAGAATCGACTGCTTTCCAAATGTGCTGCATAACCATCATCCTCAAAGTGTTTTTGATTGAAGTTCTAGAATGTTCTTCACTATTTCTTATATCTTTATTATACACACCATCAAGTCAGTCAGGTAACCTCTGCAGAAAGGTATGCATGGGAGATACATTTCTCGATCCATATACCTCTGATTCACTTGACTGAAGGTTTGGCCAGGTACAGAGTTCTGGGTTCAAAATTATTTCCTCTCAGAATTTAGAAAGGGGGAGTGAGCGGTCTTCTGGCCACGACAGTGCAGTTGATAAGTTTAATGTGAGTCAGGTTTTCGTTCACGCTGCTGGTTTTTACCCGAGGTCTGACACACCTTGGCTGTCATATTCTTCTTGAAGAATGAGGAACCGAATTAATCACTTGTGGTAGTTGGTGTTCATTTCCCCATGGGGCTCTGCCTTGAGTGAGAAGGCTGACTTGGAGGTCTGTGGACCTGGTAGGACCTTTCAACTGGCTTTAGGATGAGCAGATAGTAAGCTGGCCTCTGACCACGAAGAGCTTTACTTTGGGCTATCAACACTCACATGAACGGCCCTAGTTTTTCCCAGGTGGTAGTGGTTGTTTTTTAAAGATTCACCCTGAGGGGCTGGCCTGGTAGTGTAGTGGTTTAGCGCTCTGCTTCAGCAGCCTAGGGTTCACAAGTCCAGATCCCAGGTGCAGACCTAGCACCACTTGTCAAGCCATGCTGTGGTTGCATCCCACATAAAATAGAGGAAGACAGGCACAGATGTTAGCTCAGTGACAATCTTCCTCAAGCAAAAAGAGGAAAACTGGCAACAGATGTTAGCTTAGGGCCAGTCTCTCTCTCTCTCTCTCTCTCACACACACACACAAAATGATTTACCCTGAGCTAACATCTGTTGCCATTCTCCCTCTTTTTTTTTCTCCTCTCCAAAGCCCCAGTACATGGCTGTATATCCTAGTTGTAAGTCCTTCTAGTTCTTCATTGTGAGCTGCCACCACAGCAGGGCAACGAACAGGTGGTTGGTTCTGCGACTGGTGACTGGGAAGTGAACCTGGGGCTGCCAAAGCGGTAGGCGCCAAACTTTAACCACTGGGCCATCAGGGCTGGCTCTCCTAGGTTGTTCTTGAAGAAAGTATTCTGATTTTGATTTTTGCCCAGGGGAAAACGCTTGTGGCTATCTGTAGGCAGAGCACAGCCAGAGTCAAGCTCCTCCCCATCACCCATCCACGCTCTACCTTAAACCAGCTTTCAATCAACCTCTACCTTTTGGCTTCCCATTCCAGTCCTTTGTACCTCCCGGCTCTGCTTCCAGAGTCCCTCCAGGATAACCTCTGGCAAAACGGGGGCCATCTCTGCTGCAGCCTCCTCTTTTGTGGCTTCTTCCTCTCTGTCCCATTAACCAGCATACTTCCATCTGGTTACCCTCTGGCAGGAGGTGGGACCAGTGGTCCACTGAGGAGCCCTAGTTTCTTTGCAGTTTTTCTTTGTATTCCTTTATTGTCATTTTAATGGAGCCCAGGAGCACACTGAATGCTTAGTTTATCTTGTACCAAAAGGCATGATAAGTTATATAAACAGCCTTGTGAACTTAACATTTCACTCCAAATCTCAGGGAAGTTAAAATCCCTTGGATAGTTTATTTTGTTTTTTCAGTTTAACCAACATTCTCTAGGAGCCATCTGAAGGGTTGCTCAATTACTTGTACTTTTCTTTGGGAACCTTATAGTTTAGGTGTTTTTCTTTCCTTTAAACACCATGTCAAGTGTTTTTGTCCGCGACTCTTCCCTAATCCTGAGTCCAGTGGCTTTTATGTAGTCGACCCTTAATAGAGATGTGTGTTGACTTTCTAAAATAAGACGCAAATGGAATACGCATTTTCTATCTAATGGCACATCTTTAAAAGGCAATGGAAAAAACAGTCCAGGTTTTTTATGTTCAAGACTCAAGAAATAATAAAGTCTCTATTTTGCACAGTCGTTGCTCCAAATACCATTAGTTGACATGACATTTAAGAAATACCAACAGAATTCTACATAGAATATAAAGCATTTTATTTTCAGATAGTTCTCCTATAAGAATGAAAAAGAAACTGGAAGCTAAGCAGAAAAAATGCATTTAAGAGAAAAAGTAGCTAGGCACTTAGAGATGGTTAACTAATTCCCAAAGTCAATGTACAAAGCTATTAAAAACAGTATGTAGTGTGGTTCAAAGTCAGACGGGGCTCAATTCCTGACTCGTATTTAATAGATACAGTAATAGGTATTTAACCCACCTGGGCCTTGGTGTTCCATTTCTGAAATGGACACAGTACATATCTCACGGGGTTAATATAAGGATTAAATGAGATAATAGTGATAAACTAGTTTACACAGAGCCTGCCACATAGTAAGCAGTCAATAAATGTTGGCTATTATCATTACTAAAAAATTAATTTCTACACTGTTAACAGAGCTACCAGTAATGGCTTTTTGACTGATGTATAGAACCACTTGACTGAAAATATCCACAACAGTATCCAATGTGGGAAAACCAGAGGTCAAAGATCCCAGGATAGACATGCGCCTTTTCTATGAACCCTCTTATAACAAAATATACATTGAATGAATTGAAAATTTTATGTTTCCCACCAAACCCAAAGTTATGAATCAACCTCTTCACAGGAAAGACTAATCTAGAAATATGAGAACATGCAAGTGGTGACCATAAGTCTAATCTTTCCCAAGTCGACCCTGACTTCCAGTAGCCATCCTTTATTAAATATCTAGTATATGCCCAGGGCTATATTTGAAGCCCTAGAAACATCCCTTTTATCGCCCCAGTAGGTGAGCTTACAGATGAGGAAGCAGAGCGTCAGAGGAGAAGTGACTTGTCTAAGGCCCACGTCTCCTAAGTGTCAGAATCTGGATTTCCACCGCCTGGCGAGCTACAAAGCTCACATCTTTTCCCTAAGCCATGCTGCCTTACTATGGATGTAAAAAAGGTAAAGTAAAAATGTTTATTTACTTAATGTTTTGGCAACTGATTTCTCAAGAGAATGAGAATGCTGAAATGAGAACAAGAATGATGATGTGGCGACTTGTCTTTGGAGAAACCCACATGGGTTGCCACAGGGCGCTAGTCAGAAATATTTGAAACCAGACATAAGGAAGATAAAATTCTGTTATTTCTAATGTCTCTCTTAAATGCGTTACAGAAAGGATAATAAAGAAGGTTGACTATAGCTGGCCCCCAATATTCAGAATTCTGGTGATGACCGGTAAATACTGATGGTGTTCACACAGCATGTTCTACACAATCCCATTTATTACTTTCTTAGGGGTCTACATTAGGAAAGAAAAAAATCAAAAATTCAGAAAAAAAGATGGCACCTGGGAGTCAGCAAGAACAGGCTCACTGCTCTGGCCTCCAGAGTAAGTGACGCTGCCACTCAAGCAAAAGAGCAAGTGGTTACTACCTGTGCATTCAAGTTCCATGTCTGACAAAAGAAACCTGGACAGTGAGGTCAGGCCCCGCCTAGCCAGTAGGAAAAAACAGAGAGAATATTAAGATGCTTCTACTCAGGAATACTCAAGCAAAGTCCTACAGGCACTGGTAGCGTATTTATTCAATAGGGGTACAACTCTTCCTAGAGAACCCAGTAGACTTTGAAAGCAGCTTTGATTCCATACCTTTCAGTAGAACGTAGGGTCATTGTCCTACAACAGCAGCCTGAAGTCTTTCCACACTTTGATCTTATTATAAGAGAAATACATTTTTGGAATACTTTTGAGAGGCAATTTGGTTTATCTTTAATGTAAACGCCCATAATCTAAGGTCCACTCATTCCACTTCTAGGAATCTAACCTACAGAAATACTTCCACACCTTCACAATTTCCCACCCTCCAAACACACAAACACACAAACATACACACACACACAAACCCCCCTTCACTGCTCATTACATGGAATATGGAAAATCATAAATGCTAAATGTCCACCGAATGGGAAATGATTAATAAAAATTAATAACCTAAGTATGGAATAAATATAATATAAATTAATATATGGTAAAAATATAATAAATATGGAATAATATAAAAATAAATTATGGTAATCTACACTGTGGATAATCTCTAAATGACATTACTACATGCAAAGATCTTCAAGGTGAGGTGAAAAACACAAGTTATAGATCATGTTTAGTTTCAACCTCATTTACATAAAAACAGCTCCATGTGGGCCTGAGAGAGCAGTGGGGCCTTTCACTTTTTACTCTATATTTCTGCACTTTTACAGTGAGCATGTCTCTTTTGCATCTTACAAATTAAAAAAAAGTAACAAATATAGAATCATATGAATAATATAAAAATCAGCTGTAACCCCAATATCCAGAGAGCTGTTATTTCTATTTTGGTGGTATAAATGCTTCAACATACTTTCCAATGAACTTGCACTATGACAAACATTTTTGGGGGGCGCAGGGGTTGAAGAAGATTGGCCCTGAGCCAACACGTGTCACCAATCTTCCTCTTTTTGCTTGAGGAAGATTGCCGCTGAGCTAACATCTGTGCTAATCTTCCTCCATTCTATGTGGGACGCCGCCAAAGCGGGGCCCGACAAACGGCGCCAGGTCCACACTGGGGACCCAAACCTGCAAACCCTGGGCCGCCGAAGCAGAGCACAGGAACCCAATCACTACGCCACCGGGCCGGCCCCCACATTATTACAAAATTTTATAGCCTGTGTTAAAAAAACTCAACTTTTCCCCCACATTAAATATTCTTTTAAAGCATTAGTGTGAATGGCTGCATAGTATTCTATCTTATGGGTATACCACAATTTAACAAATCCTCTATTAGGGAAAACTTGGGTTGTTTTCTAATTTTTCTCTATAAGAAAACCACTGTGCTCATCATTCTTATACATACATCTGTGCACGTCTCTATTTTCTTATTTCCTGAAGTTTAATTTACTAAACCAAAGAATATGACCACTATTAATTTAATTTACTGGGCCAAAGAGAAAGAACATTGTTAGCACTTTTTTGGAAAGGCTGCATCAATTTAAACCTACATCAGAAATGTGTAAGTGTTGGAGGCTGGCCCCGTGGCCCAGTGGTAAAGTTCACGCACTCCGCTGCAGGCGGCCCAGTGTTTTGTTTTGTTGGTTCGGATCCTGGGCGCAGACATGGCACTGCTCATCAAACCACGCTGAGGCAGCGTCCCACATGCCACAACTAGAAGGACCCACAACGAAGAATATACAACTATGTACTGGGGGGCTTTGCGGAGAAAAAGGAAAAAAAATCTTTAAATTAAAAAAAAAAAGAAATGTCTAAGTGTTGGGGAGAGAGTATTTTCCTGGGCACCAATTCAAAGAATTAAAATATTTTAATGGTTGCCATTTTCAAAGACAAAAACGGCATTTTTCTGTGTTTTTGTCTGTACTCCTTTTGAGTAGTACAGTTAAACACTTTTCCACATTTTTATTGACTGTGTTTGTTATTTTGAGAACTGTCTATTTATATCTTTGTGCGTTTTCTACCTTGATGACTTCTGTTCCAAGAACTCTGATTTCTAATATATTCCACATTCCTGTAAAAAAAGCTCCTTACAATAATATACCTAGCTCACCAAAGATTTAGAAAAGGCTTGAAAAAGACGTAAAAGATGAAAAAGCAGCATAATTTTAGGATCTCAGTGAAATACAGCTCAGGTATAAGCCGAATTTTAGTTTACTTCTTTGCATGTAAGGTTAACATTACTTTTCTTTTACCGTTAAATTCCTCAACTTCCAGCTCTGGAGCCACCAGGTAGTACTGCTCGCACAGCATCTTGGCGGTCTCATACGCATCTGCAAAGACAGACAAACCTTCAGCTGGGACAGGCATAACGCAGGCGCAGAGAGATGGACCGACTTAACAGAGGAAACAAACACAGACAATTTCTAACCTGATGGATTCCGAATTAATCCACTACTGCCTTTTAAAAAAAAATAGCCTTTTTAGGCTACAAGAGAATTACTATAACTGAACCAAAATTTCTCTTTAAGTTTTAATGACCACGATGACATCAAGAGTGCACTAATGACAATATGGCCAGCTGTACACTAAGTACACATTTGTTTAACTTTTAAATATTCCTAAATGCATTTTTCATGAAAATCTATAAGCTGAAGACTATACTTCCAAACACCATGCCGCCTGACTAAACTGTACCAAAAAGATATCTGTCGTTAATTAAAAAAGATAATAATGCCAACAGTCTTAAGATTTGCCAATGATTTGTAAATGAAACATCAATAAGTATTTGCTGAATGAATAGGTTCCCATGAGCCATACAATTAAGGTATTGGAGATGTTACTATTGATTTAAAAAGTCCTTTAAGTTAGTTGAAGGTAACAGGTTGGGCCTGATATTTATTAGCGTCTGAGGAGCAACAGTTTGCTTTGGAAAGGAAAAAAGAAAGACACAGGGTAAGAAGGTCAGGGCCATTACAGAGACAGCTGGCAGAGGGAATTCAGGAGGTTACATCCCAAAAGGTGGGGAACACAGTCAGAAAGCAAACTGTGTTATTATGTACTGCACGCGTGCCTTTGCTCCTGAACTGTAAGCAATCTGAGGAAGGGTTTGTCTTACATTTGTCTTGTAACTCGCACAGAACTTAGTACTGGCCCATGTAGATGGTCAATAAATATAAATATTCCTTGGTTTGACAAAGTTTAAATCTTTTGATAATTTACTTTTTAAAAGACAGCTTTACTGAGATATAATTCTCATACCATACAATTTAGCCGTTTAAAGGGTACATACAATTCTCTGATTTTTAGTGTAGTTGCAGAATTGTGCTTCCATCACCACATCAACTTTATATTTCATCACCCCAAAAAGAAACTCTGGAACCATTAGCAGTCATTCCCCCCACTACCCAGCCCTGGACCACCAGAGATCTACTTTGTCTTTATAGATTTGTTCTTCTGGACATTTCATATAAATGCAATCATACAATATGTGGCCTTTTGTGACCAGCTTCTTTCACTTAGCATGTTTTCCAAGGTCATCCATGTTGAAGCATGCATCAGTACCTCACTTCTCTTCATTGCTGAATAATATTGCATTGTATAAATAGACCACATTTTCTTTGTCCATTCATCTGTTGACGGACAGTTGGATTGTTTCCACTTTTTGGCTATTACAAATGCTGCTGCTATGAACATTCACTGTCTAAGTTTTTTTGTGAACCTGTGCTTTCCTTTCTCTTGGGTATATATCTGGGCAAGGAAAATTGCTTGATCATATGGTAGCTCTATGTCTAAACATTTGAGGAACAGCCAGACTGTTTTCCAAAGTGAGATTTATTTTTTTAAAGTTTCACCTGTACAATTTCTAAAGATCAGATATTCCAATTACTTTAAAATGCTTCATGGGTGTATTTGCAATGTTCTCAACTGGGTATCAGCTCTTCGGAGACAGGCTCATACTTCTTTTATATTCCTCACATCAATACCGTGCTGAGGGTAGATGCTTGTTTAAGATTCAAGAGGGAAGAGAAAGAGGGAAGGAAGGAAAAGAAGATGAGCCTGACAGATTTTAAATTTAAATATTAAAATTTGACACTGTCAACCTAAAATAACACAAAGATAAGATTAAGGTATGTTCACACTATGAGTTTTGGTTCATTTACTTCATATTGACACCAAATTAAAATTTTACATAATATTTGACCTCAGAATAAAAATTCTGATAATTTTGTTGAACTTTCAGAATTAAACTGCTGTAAAGAATCACAGATAGAGACATTAGAATAACTCTGACAAGATGAAATAATAAGGGATAGCCCAAGGAAGCGTTAGTAAGAGGAGAAAAATATAAAAAAAGAGTTAATCAGTGTGAAAATAGCCATTAAAGTAGGATCGGATTTAAACCCTAAAAAAAGAAAATTAAAATTTAGAATTATATTAAATTTATAAGTTTTCCTAGGGTATAATAAACCTCATCAAATATCTGTCAAGTAGATTTGTAAAAAGAAAAGAAATCAAGACTCCCTCTTTTTGCTCTGGCTACACCACCAAACAATGCTACATCTCCACCTAGTGACACAACAGCACAGAGCTGACCAAGAACTTCTAAGGCCACTTTACTTAAACCAACAAATACTGAAATCTAAAATGATGCTTCATTATCGTTATCCATATACAAGGCCAATGCATCTCCAGAAAACAACTTCTCCAAGTATGTAACACCTTCAAAGATGTTTAAACATCGCTCTTCCATTTACTATAAAACAGAAAAAGAACCCAAACCCACTAAATGTGCTAGTTCCTCACAGTATTAGCTTGCCCAATAGCATGAGATTCTAATAGCACTATTAAAAACAAGTATTACAAAAATGTAACATGTGGAGGATGATGGAGCCCAGACAGAAGCAGCCAACTTGAAACTCAAAGACCCAGTGTGGTTCCTAAAATCACATGTGAATAAGAATTTTTTAAATATCAGTACAAATTATAGTGTATCAATGTTGTAATTAAGAATTACATTATGATCCTTGAAAAACTCAAGATATCACGAGACTCACATACACCAGCCTGCCAAAAGTATTCTGGGGCGGTAATGGTAAGATCTATATTCACACGCATCTTTATAAATTCCCCTAGCACATTATAACACCTTGGACACAATGCACACCTAGTAAGCATTTGTTAAATGGAACAATCCTCCTGCCCATGAGAAAGTTCTCGAGGTGTAGTCAATTGTCCTGATGAGAGATGTTCTTTTTGGTCAGACTGGGAACTAGAGGCGTAGAGTGTGGTTCCCAAACCTGGCTGTATGTAGAATTCATTACCAAGTTTAAAGAACCATACAAATTATAAAATGAACCCCTGGAGATTCTGACGCAGTAGCTCTGTGTTGAGGCCTAGGACTCCGTATTTTTAAAACCTTAGCGAGTAATTCTGAAAAGAGGCTAGATTTGGGGACCACTTGCCTGGAAAGTCAAGGCTGGGTCATGCTAATTCTGTCACTGTCTCTCCCAGGACATGACTAATCATGGGGTATTAGGGTGTATAACAGTACATATATACTCAAACAGGACACTTCTGTTTAAGTAAAATAACATAAAAATGAAAAGCTTTAAAATATCACCACCAAAATTCAACTACTGGCTTATAAATCCACTTTCTTTATCCTAGAGTAAAATGCAACTTCTACTTGTAATAAGCTAATAAGACGTTTCTATTTTTTAATTAGAAGCCAAAAATTCAAAATACAGTAATTTACCAAAACACTTTCTTAAGATTAAAAAAATTTTTTTTCCTTTTTCTCCCCAAAGCCCCCCAGTACATAGTCGTGTATTTTTAGTTGTGGGTCCTTCTAGTTGTGGCATGCGGGATGCCGCTTCAGCAAGGCTTGATGAGCGGTGCCATGTCCGCGCCCAGGATCCCAACCGGTAAAACTCTGGGCCCCCGAAGCAGAGTGCGCGAACTTAACCACTCGGCCACGGGGCTGGCCCCTACCAAAATACTTTTATGTGCAATATATTGGAGCCAGTATTTACCACCAATCTTTAAAAGGAAATATTAGGAAATGATTATTATTACCACTGAATATAAGTGATTTTCATTACATTAAGAATCTGTTTTCGGGGTGGCCTGGTGGTATAGTGGTTAAGTTCACGCACTCTGCTTCGGCGACATGGGGTTTGCAGGTTCGGATCCCAGGTGTGGACGTAGCACTGCTCATCAAGTCACGCTGTGGCAGCATCCCACATAAAACAGAGGAAGATTGGCATAGATGTTAGCTCAGTGACAATCTTCCTCACAAAGAACAAAAAAAGAATCTGTTTTCAAGGAAACTGAGGTATTGATCATAAAGTAACTAACAAAACTGTGGGTGTGGCACACATATACTTCCCCAGGCTAGAATACCCAAACTGTAAACACATAAGACTAAAAATAAAAAAGGCCAAACCAGAAAGAGTAGGGTGAAGGTTCACATAGTAACCAGCCCAACAGATCCAACCTGGCCACGAATCAGTTTTAAGAAAAAGCACACAGGAAAATGTAATAGATTACAGGGATTATTTCATTAGATTTTTTTATTAGAAGATTTCTCTATTCAAAATTCACCATAGAACTCTGCAATCAAATATTAGCCTCTATTGCAAACACATGCAATCAATTGTTTACAAATATCCTAAGAGGCTGGACTAGGATGAATTTCAGTGAGCGGCAGACAAAAATGAAGCTCCCTAACTGGTCCAAGGTCCCTAACTGTGTCTAACAGGATGCAGAAAACCACCAAGCTCAAGTTTAAGAAGCACGGCCAGAACAAGGTAAGCATAAATGACCACAAAGCATTACAAAGCCACAGATACGCTGCTTTTTAGAAACCCTTTTAAGTTACAAAGCAATTCCAATAAGGTGTGCCTATCATTCTTCTGTCCAAAACTCACCCCAAGTGGGAACCACCAGGGTTTTTTAAGCACTGGATCCTCTCCCACCCCCCAAACTACAGCAAACTGGAGAAGTCAGGGGCAGAACATCTAATGTAAGGGCAGCCAACCTATTGGCTGACCAGAATCCTGAAACCTGCGGTTGTGGGCAAAAAGATGGGCTGAGCCAATCAAATCCACCTTTTGGGAATTGAGGATTGAGACACTCAGGCAGGACAGAAGCCAACAGGATACACTGAGAGTTGTCATGATCTAGAAGGCCTGGAGTGCCCGTCATTGCCCTAAACAAGTCGATCAGTCTACGGACAAGAGAGAAAAGTGCAGGGGCTACGAATACAACCCCAGTTGCAAAGATACACAGAAAACCACCTTGTTTTCTGCTTTTCCCACTTCCAATTTTT